TGGGTACATTGCTATCCTCAAATCTCTGCAGGGGAGGGGAATTAAAATCCCACCAGGGGTCTCAGAGATGGACTTATAATAAAAGGATCCAGTCCCCAGAAGCTCACATCCCTTTCAGTGTCAAGGAAAACTAGCATAAGGATGGAGGAGGGCAGGCTAACCCCATTAATATCAAGGCACCGCCACACTCTTCACCTTCCTTCTGTGGGAAATGGGCTCAGCCTTACTCCATGAGCCTGGCATACTTGCAGAGTCTAAGTGAGTTCTTTGTACAGGCCTTTCCCCGTTGACTAGACATCACAGGTAGGAAAGCCCCACAGGGCTGTTGCTCCACTTTAGATGGTGGGTATCTTCATCACCTTTAGGTGATGGGTATCTTCAATTTGCATCCCCTCTGGTGATATTCAGGTTCATTTCCAAAGACTATACAGTTACTCCTCTCCCCTCCTATCTTAGCTAGGGATGAAACACAATAACCAAAAGCAAGTTGTAGAGGAAAGGGTTTATTTAGCTAATACTTCCATATCACTGCTCATCATCAAAAGAAGTTAGCACAGGAACTCAAACAGGGCAAGGACCTGGAGGCAGGAGCTGATGCAGAGGCCATGGAGGGGTTTTGCTTACTGGCTTGCCCTAGGTATCTTGCTCAGCCTGCTTTCTTATAGAACTCAGCACCACCAGCCCAGGGATGGCTCCAACGACAATACACTGGGTCCTCCCCCATCAATTGCTAGTTAAGAAAATGCACTACAGACTGGCGCACAGCCCAATTTTATGGAGGCCTTTTTCTCAATTGATGTTTCCTCCTCCTGATGTCTACAGGTGCTGTCATTTGACATAAATGCAGCCAGCACACCTCCTCTGTGGCTTCAGTAGATGGAGGAGTCATACCTTGATGACTCCGATTTCTTAGTTTGTTTATCCTGTGTAAAGATTCTTGCAACCCTGCTTTTTTGGTTGGGCTAAACTGTTTGTAAAATAATAATATCACGATGTTCAAATTAGCCTCATTTTGGACAGGTTAAGGCATCCGTGATGGCTTCCATGCTCTTTGCATGACCCCAGCATCCATCATCTTCCTCTAGTCTCTTGCAGACATGGACTTCTGAGTAGCTCCCTCCCAAAGTGGCCATTATTTTTCAAGGAAGACTCTGGACTGACCTTAGAGCACACAGAACAGTCATCTTTCCTCACGAGAACCCACAGCCCTGCCCCCCATCACTCTCAGTAGCTAGTGAACAATGGGTATTTTTGTCCTCACTTTCAGGTACCCAGGAAGCGGGGGACATGAGGACTTACATTCCCAGCACCTGTAGTAGAGGCAGGAAAGAAAAATGCAATTAGGATCCAGGGTCAGGATAGTCAATGGTTATTTGCCACAAAATCGGCCAACCAAGCTCCATATATTAGAATAGTCCTTTCATTAGGCCATATGAAAACATTCCCAAAGACACAAGTCAGGCTACTCATGTTTCTGAATCTGAAGAGATTTGAGTAGAGAAATAGCCTCTGTGTCTTAGAGACTTAGAGACTCCTTTGCCTGAAGCCTGAAGACTATCCAATGATTTCATTAGGTATATGATCTTCAACTCACTAATTCAAAACTACACATTTGTGACCCCTCAAAGTGCCATACCATATAAAAAACACAGGGTAGGGCCAGTGTGAGGCTTAGCATGTAAGTGTGCTACTGCCAACCTTGACAACTTGAGTTCAATCCCTGGGACCCACATAGTAGAAGGAGGGAAAAAATTTCTACAAATTGTTCTCTGATCTCTACACATGTATTGTGACATGTACACACCACACACATACACACACATACCACAAGTGGATAGATAGATAGATGAATAGATGTAATAAAAATACAGGGTTATGAGCTAGGAATGTAATCCATTTGATGAAATTTTTTTTAGTGCACACAAAGCCTTGTGTTGCATCCCCATCTCTGCATGGCAGTGTGTGCCTGTAATGCTAGCACTGGGCATGTAAAAGCTTAAGGTCATCTTCGACTACATAGTAAGTTCAAGACTAAGAAACTTGATACCCTGTCTCGAAAAAAAAATTTTATGTACACACACATACACACACACACACACACACACACACACACACACACACACACACAGAGGGATTGTTGGCCATGGCCCACCTCAGTCTTCACTGGAAAACTTCCAAGGTCTATTTGTCTCCTTGGTTCTAGGAATAATGGTGTACCTCTTGTTCACAGTTGATTCCGGGTATGTCAAGAAAAAGGACTCAGTAAATGAGGTACAAGCAAGATATCAGAAATCCAACATTGCTTCGCTTTACCAGAATGCATCTGGACCATTTATCTAAAAACTGATCTAACATCCTATCAGGTAGATGTGACAGAATCATTTGAATGTGCTGTGGGCATTTTAAGATGCAGTCACAAAACTTCTCTAGGTATAGTATTCTACAAGATTATAGGTTGTGCTTATTTCTGTATACACATTTGCAAAGCATTGGTGCGTGTGTGGAGATCGCCTGGTTTTTTTCTGCTCCCATTGCCACACAGACTTGGCTCACTGAGAATCCACAATGGCAATGGCTTGTCTATCCCAGACAAGCCTCCTCTCCCCAGGCAGTAGGAGGGAGAGGTGCAGCAGGATAAACTCCCACAAGGCTTGCAATGTGGTGCCAGGTTGTGTATCAGCGACCTGAGCTACACCAGCCCTCCCCGGGTCCAGGCCATCCTGGATATGTTAGCTAGAGAGTAGGAATGACCAAGGTGAGGCCCCTTCTACACACTTTGTTTGTTTATTTTTGTTTTTGTTTTTTGAGAGAGGGTTTCTCTGTAGTTTTGGAGCCTGTCCTGGAACTAACTCTTGTAGACCAGGCTGGCCTCGAACTCATGGAGATCTGCCTGCCTCTGCCTCCCAAGTGTTGGGATTAAAGGCATCTACCTCATGTTTAAAGATAATCAATCTAAGGACACCTTCTTCCCCTACAGTCTTATGTGACATGGGACTTCTTTCTTAATAACGAATAATTTCTTTCATATACTTATTTTTTAAATTTTAATTGCATTTATTTATTTGTGTGTGTAGCATGTGCTATGGCATCCATGTGCTGTGTGTGTACATGTATGTATAAATGACATCACTCATAACCTATAGGAGTCAGATCTCTCTTTCCATTGTATGGCCCCAGTGATCAAACTCCAGCTCTCAGGTTTGGTCGCAGGTACCTGTACCCACTGGGCCATCTTGCCAGCCCTTTTCAGGTTTTGAATTTTATTTGTTTTAGGTTTTTTTGTTGTTGCTCTTGTTAGCTTGTTTATTGAGAGAGTTTCTCTGTAAAGCCCTGGCTATCCTGGAACTTGTAATGTAGACCAGGCTGGTCTCAAACTCAGAGATCGCCCTGCCTCTCCCTCCTGAACGCTGAGATTAAAGGTATATGCTCTCACCTCTCAGTCGCTGCCCATCTCCTGCTTTTTTTAAAGTAATTTTTTCCCATTTTTAAAAACTACATTTATTCAGATCTCTGTGAGTTTGAGGCCCTCCTGATCTATGAGACTTAGTTCCAGGACAGCCAGAGCTGTTACACAGAGAAACCCTGTCTCAAAAAACCAAACTGTTGAGATAGGGAGCTGCGGGCTGCATCCCCGGCACCTGGCCGCCCGCATTGCTAGCTTATGCCCTGAAATAATTACATGAAAACTGTATTCTTTTAAACACTGCCTGGCCCATTAGTTCCAGCCTCTTATTGGCTAGCTCTTACATATTGACCTAACCCATTTCTAATAATCTGTGTAGCCCACAAGCTGGCTTACCAGGAATGATCTTAACCTGCGTCTGCCTGGAGTGGAAGAGTCATGGCGACTCACTGATTCAGCTTCTTTCTCCCAGCATTCTGTTTTGTTTTCTCCACCTACCTAAGGGTTGGCCTATCAAATGGGCCTAGACAGTTTCTTTATTAATAAGAAATCACTCCCACATCAAACAAAAAACAAATAGTGTGTGTGTGTATGTGTGTGTGTGTGTGTGTGTGTGTGTGTGTGTGTGTGTGTGTGCATGAGGGGAGGGATGACTATCAGGACTATCAGGTTATAATACATTTGAAAACCAGAGGAAAAATTAGAATGTCCTACCTTAGGCTCTGTCCACCTTTTTTTTTTTTTTTTTTTGAAAAGACAGGGTCTTTCACTGGTCTTGAAGTTTTTAAATAGACCACACTTTTTCTGTTTCAGTCGTGAGATTACAGTCACATTCTACCCTGCCCAGATTTTTCACATGCGTTCTGAGAATGAACTTGGATCCTCACACTTGCTCTGTAAGCATTTTACTGACTGAGCCATCTCCCCAGACCTTAGATACATTTATTAAATTAAGAAATGAGACCTAGAGACAGCAAACAAGTCACACAGCTCATCTGCAATGCTGGGTGGGACCCATTTTGAATGCCACATTTTTTGCCCAGTGTCTTGCTGCCTCCATCCTGGTTACTGACCTATCCTGGGTACCACATGGCATCTTTTTTGAGACTATAAATCATGAATATCTGTGAAAGTGTCACTAATTCTGACTTGGTTGCTCCATGTAAATCTAATAAAATGTAGGCAGAGTACTTGAAACAAAACTAATACAAAGTGTCCTGTTTCTTGAGTCAACATTATGATGGCAAATGAAGTTGTTCAGGAGATGATGGTTGAGTCTGGACTGGTAGCTCAATGGTGAGTGCTTGTCTGTCATGTAACATCCCTGGGTGTGATCCCCAGTGCTGAGAAACCAGACAGAACAGACATAAACCATGATTGGGTACTTAAGATGGCCACAGTGGACAGGGACCGGCAGATACGATAAATGTGCATGCTCCCTGACTTTGGGGGTCTTTCCTATGCTGGAGCCACTAAGATACTCTGCTAATTATCACACAGGGCCCTGAGATGTGTCCAGCTCAGACAGAAGGGTTTTGCAAAGAAGACCATTATCTTCTTACCAATGCTGATCTGCCAAGAGAGGGAATAGACAGAAGCGGGGATTAGCAATCTTTATTCCCTCTCCAGGAGAAACATTCAGCAAGAAAGGCGTGGGGCCCTCATTCCAGACAGAAAAGAAGCCTGGAAAGGCAGGAAAAGTAAGATCATGAGAGCTGAGAGTGTGACAGGACCTTCATGTTGTCTACAGCCTGCCTGTGCTGAGAGAACAGGGAGAGGGGATGCTGGAGAGTGAGGCCAGAGGCTGGACGTTGCGCTCCGTGCTCCTGAAGATGTTCACAGGCTCATGGGGCACCAAGAATGTTTCTAGAAGGTTCCAAGTTTAATTCTTTTATTTCTGCCAGAAACCCTTCGAGATGGGTCTCGGCATTACCTGTTGCTTATGAAAGAGACATTGGAGAATCACAGGAGTTAAGTCACTTTTCCGAATACACACGGCTGAACCATTGAACACAGCATGGGGTCATGTCCTGAAACCATTGAGAAGATGCCAAGAGGTGGCAGATAGGTTTTGAGATGAGACTCACCCCTCTTTAGTCTCGTGCCTGTCTTCACCCTTCTAGATGATTTCCTGACAATATGCATAACTGATCAATATTCTTCTCTTTCTCGTGTGGAAATTTATATTGTTTGTTTATACATGTAACGATTACCTCCTCAGCATATCAATACAGCAATCTAATAATTGAAATCCTCTTGGAAGAAATAGATTATAAATGGAAATTTGTACTTAATGGACGATTATACTTAATGATCAATTAGCTTGGTTAATTCAGCTCTCCTGCCTTTTCCTAATAACATTTTGTCAGAGATAAATAGATGTAGCATAGATGTGAAAAATACAAATAGAATGTTGCACGCAGAAAGCCTTAAGTCATTTGGAATCTTAAGTTCATTTTGTTTGCACGAACATATCCTAAGGAAACGAGCAGGTGTAGGTTTGGTGCCCAGTCTTTTCTTTCTCTTTATGAGTTTTCTTCCTCTACCCAGAGTTGTGGAAAACAGCCCATATACAGATTTAGGTAAGATGGCTCCCAGCTAGTGTCTATGTACTTATGGTCACTGTCATCCCCTCTGCTTGTCTCACACCTGCTTGATCCACAGGGGTGCAGGGTCTTCACCAGGCATCCTCAGTCTCCCAACCAAAGTTCTGCCATCCAAGCCTTGTGAGGAACCAGACCTGATTTCCCTATCTCCGAACATCATGGACCCTCTGCAAGCGCCAAGCCTCCATCATCTCTGTCCTGCCTGTGGCTTCCTGTAGGCGGTGCTTCCCATCACTCGCTCTCCCAGGAACATGCTTTGGATAGCAAGAGAGTCTGTTGCATTTTCTCTGGGTCCAGGACATCTGGGGTGCAGATCTAAAGCTCCACTGAGGCCCTTGGAAAGAAGGGGGAAGAAAGACATCTGTAGTTTTAAAGTGAAACTACAGCAATTTAGCCTCAAAATATTCTCAGTGTTTAACACCAATGTTCTAATAAGTCATCTGATTGCATGTATTTCCTGGGTTGAAAAGACTAGACTGGGGGTATAGTTTAGTGGGGAAACATTCACCCAGTAGGTAGGGGCTGTAGGTACAATACCTGACAGAGGAAGAGAGACAGAGAAAGCCAGAGTTAGTGAGAAGGGAGGGCAGAAGGTAAATAATGGAAGGAAGGAACGGGAGAGAAAGGAAAGGAAGGAGAGAGGAGGGGAATGGAGGGGAGTGGAGAAGGGGGGAGGATAAAGAAGGACCCATCCCCGAACTTAGGAGGCAAAGACAAATAGATCTCTGGGACTCCCTAGTCAGTCAGCCCAAGCTAACTGGCCAATCTCAAGCTCAGTGATAGGCCTTGTCTCAAAAGACAAAAACAAAAACAAAAAAAGGTAGAGAAAACCTGAGGAATGACATCAGAAGTTGACCTCTGGCTTGCAAACACATCTGGATTGGGGACATTTACCTAGAAGAACTTGATCATTTGTCAGGCTTCCAATTGAGCTGGTAGTTTTAGACCTTAATAAGAGAAAGTATTAATAGGAAGGTCTTTAGGAGAAGCAAATCTCAACATTTGGTGAAGAAAGAGCAGCCTCCAGGGGTTTATCAGGTGACCCAACTAAGTTCTTGGGTGTCAACACCTCCTTGTAGATATGAGATTGGCACAAATGTTTAGCGACTATTCATTAGAAATTCACTAAAATATCAACAATCATAGCAATATTTTGGAGAGGTCAAACTGGATTTGCCTGGAGCAAGGTTGCTCTTAGGTGGCAGACCTGACAGAGTAATGTAAGCCTGAGTTGCTGCAGAGTCTAAGATCCTTCTCAGCATGTCATATCCAAATATCACTTCAGAAGAACAGGAAAATGAACACTTCAAAAGAATAGAACAGAGGGTGCTTCTGGCAATGATGGAGCCAGTTACTTATCTAGAGAATCGTAAGGCATCATGGGCTCAGGGAAGAGCACTGGCCTGAGGGACATGACCACAGCTGGCGGCATGGTTATGGTTATGTAGGTGGCAAACTTGGAATGGGAGGCTTTGGGAGCCTTCTTTTCCCTAAGAAGCAAGGGACAGGACCTCAGTGTTGCTTTTGATGGGAATACTTTGGGCCACAGCTATGAAAGATGCTGGTGCCCAGGAAGCTTGGAAGATGTGGAGAGCTCAGGAAAAGTTTCTTTTTAGGGCCTGCGCTGACACCGGTCTTAGAGTAGTATGGTGCCACTTCAGGTGAGGGAGGAGTGACTCCATGAATGAGTAATGAGAGGACAATCTTCAATCATTTACGTTTTAATTAAGACCAAGAAAAACTAATTAATCCCTTTAAGAGGTCACGTGATTCTTTAACCTGTCATTTTTGTTCTCCTGTAACCATTGCTACGAAATTCATGAAACAGAAATGACTTTGGGGGAAAATAAGGAAATTTGTTCTCTTGTATCTGGAGGGGAAACAGTTGGGAGAAGGCAGAAAGAGTAGGTGTGGAGACAGCGGAGGGGGAAGAGGAGCAACCAAAGAGTTCAAGCAGGCCAGCTGCTGATGGCTCAAGAGGCCATGGGTTCCTTCCCGTGGACCTGTGGGAAAGAGGAGGGAAGTCTGGCCTAGGAGCACGAACAACCTTGGAAACTGCTCGCCTGCGCCTCCCACCTCTTCCACCCAGCACGGAAGTGTGATGGTGCTGTATTACCAGTGGTCCCCATGATTGCCAGTAATCCTTGGTGGATAAGTCTTGCCTGGGAATGGAGACCAAGACTGGAGAAAGGCCCACATGCATGCTTCTCCTTTAACTAGTTTCCCTTTATCATAAACTCAGGGATTTTTGTCCTCCAGTTTTAAAACACAGGCTCCTGAAGGTTGCCCTAGACACTTTTGATAGGGTCTGGAGATACTTGGTGCCACATGAAAACAGAAGGGCGCTTTCTTCTCAAAAATCTCAGACCTGTTCAAAATATGCTTAAAGGAGAGCCCTGGAGACTTGGAATCTAGCTGAACATTTCAGCAGGCATAGCCTTAGGGATGGAGTGTGTTGATGTCTGCAATTTACTTAGAAATGGAAATGCGCCTAAAAACAGAGACTGATGGATGCATAGAGGGTGGATGTGCACATAGCTGTATACAGACTGAGAACCAGAAAGTATACGTATACAGTCAGGGTGCTTGGTGTGTGCAGGGCTGTCCACGCTCCTGTGCTCTTCTACACGCTTGAAATTTCCAATAATACAACACCTGAAAAATCATACTATAGAAAACAAGTCATGTAAAAAGAAAAATCACTCTGTAGATACAAGACACCAGCCTTGAGCCAGGAGAGAGAGTTCAGTCAGCAACCTATTCCTCTTTCTGAGGATCTAAATGCAGTTCCCAGCACAAAGCAGGTACCACACAACTGTCTGTAACTTCAGTTCAGGGGATCTGGTGCACCCTTTGACCTCTAAGGGTACCTGTACTTACATATACATACCCACACACAGACACACATGCCTCCAAATAATTCAAACTTTGTAGGTTAAGATACCAACCTCTTTTGATCTTACCATTGTCTAAAATCATTTCCCAGAAGATGAAAGGGTTGTCTCTACCTACTTATTATTTTTGCCTGTCTTTTTCTCAGTACCAGACTAAAATCACACAAAAATGCTTATTTGGCAAAGGCTCTTTTCACTACTATCCACTTAAAAATCAGGGAAATACACTATGCTGTTGTTCTTGTAAAAAATAACTCAATTGGGAAAATCCAGCCACAAGGCTTGATGATGAATATCCAATTTGATTATCTGTGAAATGCATCCACCATAGCCTTGCTAAGTAGCTCACAGATGTTCAGTTGAAGGTTAATGTATTCTCTGTGAGGAATTTCAGTTACTTCATGTGGGTTTTTGCTCCAAGCTGGACTTCAATAACGAGATGGAATGTAAAATACACTCATGAAGAGATGTCTAACATAACTAATTAGCAAGTGACAAAATTTATACGTTCTGTCTTAAAGTGGGAATAATTTCTGTTTCGGTGAGTTTTATAAATGGGTTTCTGAGGAACCGATTTGAGCTTTCAATCATTCTTTCTAACTGCAGTTTACTCTCTGGAGTGTTGGCAAGGTAGGAGCATGCGGACAAGGCATCACTGGCACCTGTTTTATGCTCACACACACACACACACACACACACACACACATACACACACATATATATATATATCCACAACCATATTTTTTAAAATCTAAACAAAAGCTAAAATATATAGTAGAGTTTGTTCTTGTGTTAGGTTCCACCTAAATTAATTCTTGCTCACATATTCTACATATTTTCACAGAGACTCTTGTCTTCAGTTATCTGCAGCTATAAAGTTGCCCTCGTCTCCTCCCCCTCGCTGGTTCAACTATATCTAGAGCAAATGAGGAGTATCTATTAGCAGTGAAAAATTGTCAATAGTGGATTAAAAATTACCTAAAGTACTTACATTTAAAAAAAAAACAAAACAAAGTTTGTGAAGCAAATTTGAGTTTAAAGAAACAATGGTTTCTAAAACTGAGCGGCTCTGCAGCCCTGCATCCCGAGAGGCGAAGCCAAGGGAAGTGCCGTGTTGGCCAGCACTGGAAGGAATCTTACAGAGATTATACACAAAACACCAATATTCTCGTACCTACAGTCAGAAGAAACCAAACACACCTTCATCTTCTAAGACTATGATATCTATATAATTAAAATAAAATAAGCTCCCCAACTTGCCATTCTTACCCAATACCTAAAATTAGTTTTGATGAGTCTTCCCACATGACAAAGCCTGAATTCCATTTATTCTCAGATAACTGGAGGATACTTTTATTGCTTAAATATTGGACAGAAAAACCAATTGGCTCACTCAGTGATTCTCCTGCTCAAACTCTGGCTTTCGAAACAATTTAAGGCGTCAGAAGTTAAATCCTTTGCTGATAAGCAAAACTGTATTTTTATCACAGAGAGGGGCAGGAAGAACTGGCGTGGGTGCAGTGTGGACTCACACAGGTTCTGCGGTCACTCCCAGCAGAGTCTCTTTCTGGAGCAGTGACAATCGTGGGGGCCAAGGCTGGAAAAGCAGGCGCCCTAAAAACAGTAATGTGCTAAAACAGAGGTGATGGCCAGCGAACTGCTTAGTACCTTTAAGCAAAGTGTTCACTGCTTCCCCCATTCCTTTAAACACTATTAGAACCTTGAATGTCCTCAGCCAGAAAAACAACAAAACAAAATAAAACACAATATTTAAGTCATGCTTCAAAATGCCACGTTTTCACTTGTGCTCAAAAAACAGAGAAATATAAACTTATGAGTCTGCCCCAGCGTAGTGAGAACAAAATGGGAGGAAAAGACAACATCAAAGCACGTCCCCACTAACATCAGATGATAAGGCGCATCCATGTTTGTTATATAAATGACTAGAAACACAACTTACCTTATTACAAGAGCAGGGCAGGTAGGGGAACATACAGAAGGGGGTAAACCAGGTGAATGAATTACGAAAGAACACATCAGGGCTGAGTCTCGAGCAAAATCCCCAAATTTTAAGTGAGAGATTTGGGACCTTCTCAAATGGCTGTCATACATACCTCCGGTCCCTCCCCGAAATAGTCAAACGCGAAGGTGTTGCTGGTTGGCATGAGTCACGTGCTGTCTCCACGCTATTAGAAGGACAATTCCAGAAACCCCACATCTGCTAAATGCTTCCGCTGTTCCCCAGGGAGGATGGATAGTCCGTACCACCTCCTCAGAATGGCACAATCACCCCGAGATGAATGGTACAGTCTGCCAGACAAAAAGTTCTCTTTAGCATAGACTCTGTCCACCAAGCAGGCACAAACACAGCCACGCAGCCGAAAAGACTGAATACATTGTGGAAGGAGGCACACAGGCTTTCTGGAAGAGCTTCGCGCAGTGACTGCTGGCTGTGTTACCTGAGATCTGCAATCAAAGAGGTTCTTAAAATACCACAGGGATCACAAATCCTGGGAAAGAATTTCATATGAAGGAAACACTCTCTCTCTCTCACACACACACACACACACACACACACACACACACACACACCATCCCAGTTGGCTTGTTAAACCTTTCTCCCAACACTGAATCACTCATCCCCTCAAATAGACACATGCTTGTATATTTTAAAATTTTTTTAAAGTGTATAAATTAGCAAGTCAGTGCTGTTCTGTAGCAAAGATAGGCTCGCCATTTCTCCTCAAAAAGCACGTAGGGCTAACCATTAGAGGAAAAAAAGGCAAAGAAAGAAAGAAAAGCGGATGACAGAGACATTGTAACTTAGGAGAATGCTCTTCCCTAGGCTGTGCAAATCAAGGTAGCTCACACACCATGCCACTTTTGTTCTGTCTTAGATTCGGTGGATCAGGCATGGCAACAACACACAACGGGTGTTTAAGCCAGTCAGTCTTAGCAAATTAGGTAAATTAGAGACCATCCAACAGCATTCTATTGTTGCTATTGTAATCACAGGCATTCTCCCTGGTGACAGTGCTTCCTGATGAAGTGCCGTTCTCCGAGCATCCCTGTGAAAAGATACCAAAAGACTCCGGGATGCGACATCTGCTTTTAACAGCTCTTCAGATTCAAATTGGCATTTTACTTTATCTTGGAAATTTATTAGGGATTCAGCTCATGCCCGGTTTAAATGGGAAGGTGAAGGCAGGGTAGTTTCTGTCTATGAATTATTCAGTCTCTGCCTGGCGAGATTGCCATCCGTGAACTGACGCTCCAACAGCCCCTTCGCGGAGCCTCCATTACGCTTGTCATTTTTATTTCTTTATCTACGATCTCTTCCTCAGTTACCCGGCTACTCCCTTAGGGCTTGGATTCACAAACCCAGTGTTTCAAATTGACAATAACCTCAGTGTACCGCTTTCTCAAATCGCTGTCTCCACAGGCTGTCATTTTTCTTTTTCTTTCTCCCCCCACCCAAATCATTAAAAACCACGTCCACAATGATATCTCTTAGGTCCTTTGGTTTGATGAATTTTACTTACATGCACACACACACACATGCACACACGTGCACACACACACACATATACCAGAGAGAGGGAGAGAAAGACAAAGAGGCAGATCAATTCGAACAAGAATTATGTTACTCCACGCCTCCCAAGAGAAGTCAAGCACCTTTCTTTGTCATCAGAGTGACCCATCCTAGTAGCTAGCTAGCATAGCACCACGTGGGAGGGAGCCCAGGCTGATGTAGGCTTCCTGGCACCCTGATTTGCAGCCCAACTTGATGAGGGCTGCAAGCCAGAAAGACTAATTCAGACCACTGTGTGCTTAGCAAGCACAATTAGTTAGGAACATAAGAAGTCATCAGATGACGGAAACGAGACTGCCACTCTTCCAAGGCTCCACCTGCATACAGACAGCAGTCCCAGCTATTCTCCACTTGATGGCTGGTTATGTCCCTGCTAGGCGACAACAGTCCTGCATCCAGAAAGAACTGGGATCGGTTTAGGCCAATGAGTCTGGTTTCTCCTTTAAAGCATGATTTAACTGTGGAGTGGGGGGTTACGCTAGTCCTGTGACCAGCCTTAAATGGGAGCTGGGGCGTCCCACGGTGCCAGTGTGGTGAGTTACCCAGAACTGAGTCAGACAATTCATGCCAAGCATTGTCTCCTGCAGATACAACAGCATGGCACAAGAAGCAACCCCCCTTCCCCGCCCCACATACGAGGTGGAAAAGCAGCCGAGCTCCACCAGAGACAGTTTGGTTAGCAAGCTCCGAGCGGTACCTGCCCAGCTGAGAATTCATGCTGCCACATCAGAAGCTACCATGCACAGTCAGACTGCAGCTCGGCTCCTGGCTACACAAAGGTAATGTTCTTCACGTGTGAGGCTTTAGGCAGCAGCAGGAAAATCGAAGTTTCAAACTCGGCTGCTTTGTGCCTAGCTGCCTGCCTCTGCTTTGCCGCGTCTCGCCTGGCAATCTGCAGGAGCAGGAGCTGGCATCTGCAGGAATGCTGTATGACACAGCAGTCAGCTGAGCTGTGAGCTGTTATTGTTCAATGTCCTGTACAGAATCAGGACAGTTTCTAAGGTGGCACCAGGCAAACGACCTAGGATGTTAACGGTGGTTGCAGGACTACAGGCTATGTCTGTCTACCTGGCAGTCATTTCTTGGATACATTTTCGTGGCTTCTGTTTTAACTCAAGATTGAATGAATCGTTTGCACCCTGCTTGCTGAGTTGACAGATCATTCTTGAACTGACTGTTGCATTCAGAAATGGGCTAAAACCATCACTGCCCAAGTCACTTAAAATCCTTGAACTGTCTATGGAAGAATTCTTGCTCATGTTTTGGTTTTAAAAGCTCTCTTCTTCCTTCCCCCTGCTCCCCCTTCCTTCTCCCTTTCCTCCTCTCCTTAATCTAGGTAGAAATTGTCTTAATCTAACATGTATGCAGTGATGAATTCGTAAATCGTACCTAGTATGACGTGCAGTCGAGAAAACTCAAAGTAAATTAGTCCAGCAGAAGCCCTAGGTCATGGTCATCACTATGAAGTAGGGGACATGCTCTCTGTTGTGAAACTTGGGTGTGCGTTAATGTGACAATAGAGCAAAAAGCTTTATATGGTATTTCCCCAGGGGTTTGAGGAACCTGCTAAAATAAGAAAGCAGTCACTACCGGGCATTTGTTTAACGGCTGTAATCATACTGAATTAATTTAACTTGCTGCAGTGTTTAACAGAAAGTCAATTATAAATTTGAGCTAAAAGAATAACAATAGCAGAATGGTCATAGCACCATCCTCTAAGGGCATAGCCTCTAAAGAGGCTTCCTGTCCTCATCATTTAAAAGCACTCTGAGTGGGCTGTTTTCTCTATAGTACAACCCAGGAGCAGCTACTCCCTGGTCAGGCACTGGGATGCTGGGCAGAATGGTATACACCCATTATAGGAAGAGCATACAGGTGATTGCCCCATAGACAAGTGCATGTTCTTTGTTTTGCAAAGGGTTTTTGTGATCTCTTCTCCATTTCTCACTTACAAATTTCAGTTTTCTCTTTGCTTCTTGAGACAAGAATCTCACTCAAAAGAAAATGTTTTCAGGCAGTGGACAGAGGAGTCAAAACTAGATGCACAAACACTCTCCATATAATTATAGTATTAAATGGCATCTAGACAAGTGGCTGGTCCTTTTACAGTTTACTGGTGACATGCTAAGAAGTGCTACCTAGAGAGAGCCAAAACTAGACTAGGCTGCTCTTTCTAGCACACATTAATAGATGAGAATGGCCTTTTATTTTTTTTAAAAAAGATTTATTTATTATGTATAATGTTCTGTCTGCATGTGTACCGGCAGGCCAGAAGACTTTACTACAGATGGTTGTGAGCCACCACGTGGGTGCTGGGAATTGAACTCAGGACCTCTGGAAGAGCAGCCAGTGCTCTTAACCACTGAGCCATCTCTCCAGCTCTGAGAATGGCCTTTTAGATGAGCCTTGCTACCTCAATTGATAGAGCCATTGCTGTACATGAACTAAGCCCAGGGTTTGATCCCCAGGATCCCATAGATAACAAGCCTGGTGATGCATACCTAGACTCCCAGCACTCAGGAAGACCAAAAGTTCAAGTTCATTCTCAGCTATATAACCAGTTTGAATAATGAACTTGACCTTAAGCTATAATGAGACACGTCTTAAAACAAACAAGCTACTACCAAAAGGTAGCTTGCTAACAGGGAGCAAGCCCTTCATGACTCAAATCAATGGTGTTGGGTGACTTGCCCTCAGAAGCGCTTGCCATTTTGAAAAGAAAATTCAGCTTCCTTGGGGGGGGGGGGTCCCTGACGGTGGAATCTAACCAAGCATCAGCTCTTCGGGTAGAAGTAGTAACTGAGACGCTCAGGGTTCTGTTAGAGAGGGGACTGCTCCTGCTTTATCCTGTGGAAACGTTTGTGCCTGAGGTCCTGACCTGCTGGTGGCTGTAGGGAAGACTAGACCCGAAGCAAATATCAAGGGGGGTGGTGGACAGTGTGAGTCCTTGTGGCGGTTGTCACGCTAATGGTTCTGACCTTCTCTGAGAGCCTGCGACCCTGCTTTGTGATTTTTCTCCCTTAGGCTCTGTCGTCTACCTGCTATTGTACTTTGGGTCTTAAGTGTTTTCTGAAAGATCACATACTGAAGGGTTAGTTTCAGCCTGTGGTGCCCTTAGTGGGTGATAGGACCTTCAGGTAGGAGGTGAAGCCTAGTTGACAATGTTGGGTCTTTAAGGATGTACCCTTAATAGTATCTTGATGCTGCAGTCTGTGCCCTCTTCTTCTATATTCTGGACATCATGATATGAGCAGCTTTGTTCCATTCCACCATCCCTCCAGAATCTTCCTCCTCAACACAGACTCAGAAAGAAACAGGGCAAAGCAATCATGGCTCACAACCTCTGAAATCAGAAGTCAATAAATCTTTCCCTCCTCGAAATGGTTGGTTTTGTCACTCTTCCATAGTTCTCTGCAGCTCCTTGCCAATTCTTCATTCTGCTTTGTCCTCCTCTTTTTTCTCTACTTTTTTTCTACCACATACATTTTAGAAGTCTTGAAAAGTCTACAGATCACTTTTCAATAATGCTCTTCAATGTATATGCAATATAACACACAGAATTACCAAGGAAATAAATTGTCTTAAATGTCTCACTTAAGAACTAGCAAGGTTAAATTGTAGAGTGAGTCTTGTTGTCTGTGTTCCTGTGATTATTCAGTAAAAACGTATGTTCAAGAAAAAACTTGATAAGATGCAGAACATAGCCAGAGAGTGGTGGCACATGACTTTAATGCTAGCACTTGGGAGGCAGAGGCAGGCAGGTCTCTGAGTTCACAGCCAGCCTGATCTATAGAGTTAGCTCCAGGACTACAGAGAGCTGTCTCAAAACAACCAACCAACCAAACAAACAAACAAACAAAGAGATACAGAAAAGAAGGAAGAATAGAGGCCATATTTGAGGCTGGTGGGATGGGATGGCTTCACAGCAGGTGGCTCTCAACCACCAATGACTGCAGCTATGGAGATCTGACACTTCTGTCCTCCACACATGTGTGCACACACACATACACATCAATCTAAAAAAATGAATCTTTAAAGAAGAAGACTCTATGTATTGAACTTTATTAAATTTAAAAATGACCTTGTTCAAGTTATTAGCAGATACCCAATTTTCACATTAAGATGAAATACTACACTTTCCAGACTGACTAATTCACACCACACAGACCTTCCTAAGTTCTGAGGCTCTTTGGCAAGGAAGTAGGGATGCTAAGTGATTCTTTTGGCTTGGCTCATATAGCAAAGAAGCCATAGAGTTCAAGACCCAAATTCCATATCCCTACCTCTGACTCCCTCCTACTAAAAACTTAAAATGACTGGGATGCTGATGTCAGTGGGCAAGAGAGACCATTTTTAAAGGCTCAGGAATTTTACTCAGTGCTAAACCATCCTTGGATTAAACTCAACCATGAGGTGAACATTTACACCATGGAAACAGACAAATGTGCAACTTGAAGCTGTTTTTCTCTGCACATCTGGTTTGCATTCTATAATATTTAATTATGCCAAGTTGTCTCATGATTCTTTACTTTAGTTCCAGAATCCAGAATGGTGAAAAACATAAATCATGATGTCTGAATGTGTCATTCTCAGGTCAGAGAGCCAGTCTTGGATCCCGTCTACACCACTAAATATCTGTGACATTGAGTGAATTAATTCACTTTCTGGGGCTGAACTTTCTGTTGTGTCAACCAGGACTAGTAGCACTGTGTGTCTTGGAACTTGAATTCATGTTTCATGAAATGCCTTAGCATAGGTTCTCACACTTCCTGTCTCCCAATGACTAGGAGCCAAGTTTATTTTCCCTCCCTTCTTCACTTTCCTTCAATTGGCCACCATATGTGATAGAAATTATCAGTACCAACACATTTGTCCTGAGGGACGATATTTTTAAGAGACTGTAGACAGCAAGACAACAACAATAACACTATACATGAGCAACTTGGGATTCTAGAGAATAAAAATTGGCCTTACAGCTCTTGACCCTATTGGACAGTGGAGATTTGAGAAACTGATGCTGTTGTATAAATCCAAATGATAATTACTGATGGATGTAAGTCAACACGACTTTGAGATTAAAGAGAAATCAGACCAATCTTATAGTCAGTCCCCTATAGCCACAAGTTCTGAAACTGAGATGCAATGAACATTGAATCAAAAATATTTAGAAAGTAATTCATCCATATTGAACACATATAGATATTTCCCCTTGTCTTCTGTAAAACAGTGCTGTATAACAATTATTCATGTGGAGTTTATGCTTTGTTAGGTATTATACATAATGCAGAGATGTTTTAAGGAATGCGAAGAGAACAGAGGGCTGTACCACCAGTTTCTGTTTGGAGAATGCGGCACTGCTGGAATGCCCTCAGAATGAGTCCCAGGTTCTGTGCCGTCTTTTCAGTTTCCCCGCAGTGAGCACTGCTGAAAGTAAGACTGCCATCAAAGCATGAGAAAAGAGAAGCTACTAAAGGGTGGTATATAAATTCCCTTCCTTTCACCCATCCTGGTCTAACCACTGAAGCGGAAACCTTGTGAGGAATGTGGTACCCAACTCAAAGGCAGTTCCCTAAAAAAGAACAGAAAATGCTGTCTGTGTCGTTATTATAAGTGAGCACAACTGGGCAGTAGTTTCCATAAACTGAGAGAGGTAAAAGATGCTCAATTCTGCACACCTCACTTTCAGATGAAGTAGTACGTACGTCACCCTCCTCTTACTAAAAGCCATATCAGTCCACGGTACCCAAGCCATAGGCCTCCTCTTTCTGTGGGTTTTTCATTCTGTTTTCCCTTCCCTGCCTCCTTCTGCAGTGGGTGGCCTCCTGGACCACCCACTTCAGGTTTAGACATTTACACAGCTTATTAACTACCCATCAAA